CACACTCACACACTCTCACTCACTCACACACACACACGCACTCTCTCTCACTCACACACACATGCACACACTCTCACTCACACACGCACACACTCTCACTCACACACATGCACGCACACTCACACACACACACTCACACTCACACTCACGCACACACACACACACTCACACACGCACACACACACACACACACTCTCTCACTCACACACACACACACACACTCACACAATGATCAATGTGACGTCGACAGGTCTTCATTTACAATCACGTCTGTCGTGTAGCGCTACATAAAGACTGACGTGCCGTTGACCCACACAGAAGAACGTCACAATAAAGCATTGCTTTTACAGTATCAGGGGGAAATAATGTACATGTGCGTCAGACTCAGATGGACGTCTTTGTTTGTATCAAATGTCTCATTTCTTTTTTTTCAGCATCTTGTGCTGCATTTTTAAAAAAGATTTATAAAGTGTGAACGTCCAAGTGTTTGATTTGTTCCTCCTGCTGTCTGTAGGGTACGTACAGAGCCTGATTCGGCGAGTGGTGAATAACGTCAATATCGTGGTCAATAATCTGATTCTGAAGTATGTGGAAGATGACATCGTGCTGTCGGTCAACATCACGTCTGCGGAGTGCTACACGGTGGACGATCTGTGGGACCGAGCCTTCATGGACATCATCGGTGAGTCCGGCAGGTTCACGTGTTTCAGTTCAAGCATGTGAATGAATGTTAGTTTGGGGTGTAGGAGCATTAGGGGCAGTGGAGGGTGTTTTTGGTTAGGCCAGGTTAATAGGTTAGTTACACTCGGGTCGGGTATGCTGGGGCTTTTATGGATTTAGTTGATTTTGTAGTTCTGCTTTATAAATATTCCTTTGAATTACACAAATGAAATGCATGTGCCAGACAGCAATAATGAATCATTATTTCAACAACTGCATAAACATTAGAGCCCGACCGATATATCGTTTTGCCGATATTATCGGCTGATATGAGCTTGTCGCCGATATATCGGTATCGGCTAATACGCTGCCGATATGAAATTTTTTTTACAGAACATATAACGCAGATAAAATGCTTGAAATGGTGTAATTACTTAGTTTGTCCAGCAGTGCGCGCTCCATTGTTTGCAACTGGCGACCTGGATGAAACGCTTTAAAGCTTAAGTCTATGAAAAACCATTAAAACTTTGAACGGCCATATCTCCATAACGGCGC